TTAAATATGTAAAATAAACACAAACATGAAAAATATATAACAAATTATAGAAGTTGACTTAATAACGCCAATAGTTCGGCAAATTTATTAACGCCGTCAGGTCGGCGATAAATATAAGCTTTACGCCGTCAGATCGGCGATAAAAATAATCTCTACGCCGTCAGGTCGGCAAAAAAATTATGAATAGACCGCCAGGTCGTCAACAAACAACTAAAACAGTTCAGTCAGCATTAACTAAATAAAGCCGTCAGGTCGGCAACAACTTTACACCGTCAGGTCGGCGGAAAATTCTATCAACGCCGTCAGGTCGGCGAAAATCGACAACATATTAAACATCATTATTGGTACAATCGAGCCTAATAGCAAGGACTTTACTATGGAAATCCGGACCAAAAATCGTGTTCTTGTTTAAATATTGAACAAAAATATTCTGCCCGGATGAAAACATTAAAATATCAAGAATATGAGCTTTCTTAATACTGTTGTCTCCAAACAACATTGGCCAAAACGGCGCCGAAGGCCAATTTGGAATAATTAAAGTTCCTTTAGCTTTGCACTTCTCCAAGTAATTTATAACCTGTGGAACAATACTTATAGGGGGCACAAGCCAATTATTTTCCCAAGAACAGGAGAAGGCATTCACTGCCTCTGTTTCAGGGACCCAAAACCTAGAATTAAATCGAAGTATTCTATTGTTGTAATGATTGGCAAATCTGTCAACAGTATGAGTGCCCCATAAATCATCCATGAAACAGAAAAAATCATCGGAAACTCCCCAGTCATCTACATCACAGAATTTGCTAATACAGTCTGCAATTTCGTTTTGGCTCCTTGGAACCCATTCAGTTAACAACGAAATATTTTCTTTCAAACATAGATTAAATATTTTAATAGAAATCTCGTGCAAACGAGATTTTGTACTTCCGTTTTCTACAATTCGTACACAATTTTGATTATCTGTACAAAGAAGCACTTGCTTGTCTTTTAGTTTAGGCATGAAACTTTCAATTGAAAATAATAACGCAGACAGTTCTCTCCAGGTAGAACTTTCTTTTTGTTCATTAATCGACCAATTTTTATGACAGACTTGATCATTTTCGCCTTTGATAAAAGCCCCACATGCCTTACTACTTGCATCTGAAAATATAGTAACAGAATCTGACCCATTGTGAGTAAAGAGATACTTCACAGGTGTTTCCTTGAACTGATTTTCCCAGAAATGAAGCTCTTGAAAACAACCAGTGAAAAATGAAATATTTAAAACCGAATCCCAAGATGACCTAGATTCTATAGCTCTGTGAAGATTTTTTGTCATCAGTTTGCAAACATTCCCTATAACTGGCATCATTGAGACAATCTTCCCTGTTAATCTAGCGATTTCTCTGACAGTCTAAAAAGGTATTTTTACTGAATAAGCATGCAGAAGATCTACAACACTGACTAATCGTCTGCTAGGGATACTGATAGTATTTTCTTGCAAATTCCAGACTATACCTAACCATTCAAGAATTTGAGTGGGAACCAAAACTGACTTTTGCAAATTCAAAACAAAACCAGCCTGTAAAAGCACTGATTTAACAAATTCAGCATCTTTTAAGGTCAGTAAATAATTTCTATTTACACCCCAGCCATCATCTAGAAATAACACTAACCTGACCCCATTTTCCCGGATGTATTTAACAATATATCTCAAACATTTGGTAAAAATAAAGGGGGACGGTGAAAGACCAAATGGTAAAACAGTGAAAACGTAATAGTTTTTTAACATTGTTCTCTGACCAAGAAAAACCTAAAAAACACTGATGAGTAGTGGATATATCAATGTGATGGTAAGCAGAAGTTATATCAAATTTAAACATAAATCCGTCTTTATAAAGATATTCATATGCAACTTTCCAGTCTTCAAATTTAAAATGTTCTTTCCAAACATATTTGTTTAAAACACTTAAATCCAAAATAAGACGTTTTTTACCTTGGCTATTTTCAGCTACAGATAAAGGACTAACAATATAAGGCACAAAACTAACTTTCAAGACAGAACCGGAACTCACTAATTTTGCCACGGCTTCAGAGACAAATTTTGAATGTTTAAGAGCGGACTTATTATTTTTCGTGAAATAACTTTTTGGAACTTCTAAAAACGGAATTTTGTAGCCGTTCTTTATTACATCCAAAATAAAAGCAGGTGCCTTTAAGGTAACTTCCCAAAATCTATAATGATCACGCAATCTACCTTTAACATTAGAAAAATCGCTACATTTATTAATACTATTTTGACTGGATAAATTTTGATATTCAAAATATCTGTTTTGTAACAAAATGTTTTTAAAGTCTTTATCATTATTGTAAATCATATCTAGATATGAATACTCATCTATCTCATCACTGCTTTGAAATGGCGGCCTTTGACTGTTGATCTTCCTTGAGCTGCATGAACTGCGGAACTTGAGGGTGTTGTTGTTGTCCAAGTTGCCAATAGATACCCAAGTTTCCGGAAACGGAAGTTGAAGCGACACCTGGTCCAGAATATTGAAAGGCACAATCTGGTGGGGTATGCCCCAATCCTAACCCTGTTGAAGCGTCGTGAGCCACGAAAATTAGGCATAAAGTTGGTATTTGAAGGAAAACCACCAAAGAAAGTATAAGCCCCATTTAGATCAGCACACCCTGGGCTAGGTGTAGCTCTGGCAGGCTCCCTAGGCTGCTTAGTTTTAAGTTTTGGCAAGCGCTCTCCTCTCTGCCCTTTTAAGACGTTTATCATCGTCACTGTCACTGGCTAGGTCGTCTGACTCGTACTCTTTGACTGTGTCCCAGCCGCCTGCAGATTTATCAGCAATTCTGATAAGCTTATTTCTATGAAATACCTTCTTTTTCAGGGCTTCAGATAATTCTAAGACTTTATTCTGCTCGCCCCTTTTAGTAGCCTCTTTAATGTCGTCCAAACCCTCAATAACGTCAAGATTGAAAACAAACTGTTTCTTGTTACTTCGATACTTGAAGTCCTTGGATGACGAAACGTCCTTGAAACGCTTTAGCGTGGAAGTCGAAGAAGAGTGTAATTCTTCTCTCAATTCTCTTTTCAATGACTTGAAATGCTGGTCGAAATAAGAGCGCATCAAACCAAATTGCTCAATGGAAGATTCATCTACAGAGCCAGCTGTATTCCCATTTCTATCACTGAAGGACGAACTATCTCTAATTCTATCTTCTGATTCAGCCATTTATGATATCGTAATGTATATGTTTACTGCACAATGCAAAGACTTCGAATGAGGAAAAATCTTAACAACGATTATCAATACTTTACACGCACGGAAAATCCGTGCAAAAACTGAATACCATAAATACTACAACCTTAAAGGGTGATACTCACTAAAACTAGATGATTTACTTTAACCTATGATAAATATATTTAAAAAGGAAACCACGTGCCGACTCTTTTAATGTTATGTGTGTCATTTGATACTGTGGCATTTTAGTGTGATTATTTAGAAAGGCAATTTATGATTATTATACAGATTAATATTACAACTGTGATAGATTATATTTATACTTATCCCCACTTATATTGAATTCTTATTTATATTTCTATATTGACTTGACTTATACAAATATATTTCTCAGCCATTATGTTATACGTTGCAGTATTTTATAAATACTTTAACGCGAGTCGGAAAAACTCTTTAAGTAACTTGCTCTCATACTGCTGCTGAAGAACATGTTATGGTTATTATATTTTATGACTTACAAAATTTGAATGAAACATGTGGGATCTGGAACAAAAAACACGTATTCAGGAGAAAAAAAAAAAAAAAAAAAAAAAAAAAAAAAACATCTCATTTTTTAAAATTCACTTAGTCAAGAACATCTGTTCGTTGTTCCCTTGCTTGTTAAGTTGAAAATACTTACAATTCTACCACATTCAGTTTTCATTTTTGCATAAAAGATCATTAAGAATTAAGAATTAAATTTCGACCGGTAGATGATAGTGTGTCAGCCCTTAATGTTAATCTGTCATCTGATATTGAAGATAAATTATTCATTCTTTTTGAAGAAAAGGATTCTGCTTAACTAGAAGGTATGTATGTTCATACATACATGAACAATAGCTAAAGTAAAACAAAGAGTATTCAGCATTATAAAAGAACATTCTTATTAAACTTGTTTATTTAGTAACAATGCTACTCATATAAAAAGTGATACCAAAGGCATCACTTTTATTATTTCTTATTTCATCATTTTTTATGAAAAGTTTATAATAAGAAGAATTTTATGATATTTTTGTTCATGAAGCAATATATTAGGGTACACTTCTGGCATATCGTAACAACCAATGCATTAATGAGACGCTATTATTTTCTAAATATATCGGAAATTAATGGCACGCATTTCTTCACTTGGTTTCAGTCTTTCGCATGTGTTTCTTTTGCTAGTGTACGAGGGTTGATCAAGAGTAACGTAGACTGGTTCAATATCTTTGAAACGGACCAATATAAAATATTTTTATTTATATCACTGTATTGACCTATCTCTTTGCCATTTACAAGGAGCTGTAGTCATGCATTACTCAGAGCAGAATAACTAGCATAATTGTAACTATAGTAACGCGTTACCCGTTTTCAGGTTTTCAAGTTTATTAAATATATCTCAGTATGTAACAAACATAGACATGAGAACAAATTCTAATAATACACGTTATCACAGAGGACAACTTTTATTTAAGATCTTGAAGGAATTTATACGAAAGTGAAAAAAAAAATTTATTCCGTAATACCAGTCCCATGGATTTTAATAACTGATCCAGGTGCTATTTTTATATATAATTGCTTTATTGAATGCATTATAATTTCGACACTGTTTATCAAAATAACAGAAAAATGCGGGAATATGTTTTCGGACGTTTGTATGACGTTGCATAAAAATTTGACGTCATTTGACGTTAGATAAGGAAAATAAACAACGTTTAAAACATAGTAGTCCGTTACGCAGCTACGTTAAAAATGACATCACAAGAACGCCTTGAATTGCGTGACAACATAAAGTTCTGCATGGAATTAGGTGAAACGCCTAAATACACATATAAAAAGCTGCAGAGGACCAGAGGAGAGAATGCTGTTTCCCGAGCACTCGTTTTTAAGTGGTTCCGGCGATTCTCTGAAGGGCGGAAGTCACTTGAAGATGATGAAGGGCGTGGAAGAGGGTCGAGCGTCAAGCCGTCAGATGTGATGTCAATTGAAGGTATTATCAAGGAGGACGCAAGAGTGACCGTTCGAGAGATATCACAAGTAACTGGGATGAGCTATGGAACAAAGCACACAATTATCACCAGGAAATTGAACATGCGAAATGTATTATATGTGCATTAACTTATGTTGTTGTTTTTTTTTTGGTTTTAATCACTCTACAACCTATTCAGTTTCGAATATAAAAATATTCAAATTTTCCGCGCTAATTTATGATTTCGCACGTATCGTATAAACAATAAAATGCACGGATACACATTTGTTTCAAACATGTTGCGTAATTCAAATTTATAAACACTGTACCAAAAACTTAAATAATTTTACAAAATACCTTAATATTTGCTTATCAAGTATAAACATTTGAAACCTTGCAGGTTCACGCCCGGTGGGTTCCTCGCCTCTTGACAGATGTGGAAATGAATAAACGAGTGCAGGAGTCCCGGCGATTTCTCCGACGCTTCAGATCGAACCCGGACTTCCTGAACTATGTGATCTAGACTGATGAGACCTGGTTATACCTGAGAGATCCAGAATCCAAGCCACAGTCTGCTGTTTGGAGGCAAGCAGAGTCGCCACCTCAAGTGAAAGCCCGTGAAGGACGATCTGCCGGAAAACAGATGTACATGATGTTCGCCGACTGCAGGGGATATGCTCTATGCCATGCCTAGTTGGGACTACCATCAATGCAGACTATTATTCGAAGGTAAAATATAATGTTTACTATATTTATACATTTATTAAACAATAATGACAATAATAGTTACATGTATACGTTTCCGTATTGTAACCGTTTTATTTATAAGATTTATTATGAAATAATACTATCAATTAATTTAATCCTTTAAAACTATTTCCCCAATGATTTCGTTAATAAAATCGAGCAACGATATAATTTTATTTAACGTGCCGATGCACAAAATAATACAGAACATGCATCAGAATAAAATACACAATTTAACAGGTACTGAATCGAGATCTTATCCGGGTACTGAGGAAGAAGAGGAGCGACATCCCCGTGGAGCGATTTATACTGCATCACGATAATGCATCGTTGCATACGGCAGCCTCCACACAGCTCACAATAGGTGTCATAGGATTTGAACTCCTGCCTCATCCCCCATATTCCCCGGACCCTGGTCCGTTTGATTTCTAATTGTTCCCAGATTTGAAACGCCAGCTGAAGGGCCAGCGCTTTGTGAATTTGGAGGAGTTACAGTCAGCGACAAACACCCTAAAACGTCAGTATCCAGCAGAATATTACAGGAATATATTCTTCTCTCAATGGCCTAATAGGCATGAACGTTGCATTGCATGTTCTTGCTCGTACTTTGAAAAAGAGTGAATTGACGCTTTTCCTTAAACACTTACGACGCTGCGACGTCGCTGACGTCACGAGTTTTTTTTTGACGACGTGGGCCGGTACCGCGATAGTGACACATTTTCATGGTTTGTTATTCCGAATTATGTAAACATATTGTAAAACAAAATTGCATGTTGTTTGTTGATAAAACAAACTTTCATGTGATATACGTTTTATGTACGTTTGTCAAACAATAAATGAGATATTGAGCCTGTTTACGTAATTCTTGATCACCCCTCGTATGACAACTCGTATTTATGAAACGATTTTAGCAATCTTGTTTTTTTTCTCATACGTATTGACGATAAATGTCATGCGTTATTTTCTCTCCGTTACATTATCAACTGATTTTTCGAATGAAATATAACACATTTTTGGGATTTTGTCTGACATATTTCAATCTTTGAAGCATTTTTATTACACAATTGACGAATGAGTCACACACATTATACCGTAAACATTATTTTTTATACAAATAAACAAAATGGCTCAGAACACTAGGCGACTAACAAAGAGTAATTTTAGTATATAACATAAATAAAATTTAACCCTTTAGTGTCATGTTTGGCTTTAAATTGTTTACATATAGGCCGCTTTATTAATTTGTTGAATAAAATCAGTACACCAACCACAGGAATGCTAATTTCATTACCATACAGTCAACATTTATCATTAATTTATTTAATATGGAAACTCAAGGTAGATTTATTGCTTTGCTGATGTTTGTTTTGCTGCCATATTTAGACATAAAATAACCTTGTACGTTTGTGTTTTTATGTTCGTATTTGAAGATGATCATTTCAAAGTAATACCCTGTTTTTTATCATTCAGATTAATAGTTAAAGCTAATCGCTGTTGGTTTGTTATCGTTGTATGACTGACCACTGTGTAACCTTTAGCTTTGTGATCTATTTTTCCCTAGTGTGACACAGATGCTTAGCCACGTTAAATATCTGAACAAGTACCGTATCAAAATATATGTTTTTAATTTTGTGTTGCATTTAAGTTATTACGTTTTTTGTCCAAGACAAACCTGATGCTTTTAAGATAAAAACATTATATGGAAATACTTTCGAATTGTTTGAATTACAATTGTTATCGGATTTAGAATCAATTATAATAGAGATTCAATTTAATCAATGATAAAACTGCGATCAAGTAACAGTGTCATGAATTATTTTCAGTTTAGAATGGTAATGTGGAAGACAAGACTCGGTACTATAGTAGCAGGTGTGATTTTCGGCCTTATTGAACTTATGTGCTATTTATTTTTACTTCCCCTGAAATTTTTAACAAGTATAAATATAAGTATTTTCTTATGTATTTCAAGACCCTCTATGTTTTAGAAATGCGTTTGTTTTTATTTCTCAAAAGCCTTTTTTGTAATATTTATTTTTCAAATATTATCCCATTTGCGATAACCTGAAACATCTTTTTTTCTTGTATTGTTTTTAGCAATTAGTACAGATATAATGATATAGTGTTTGAAAGGAAGAAGAATAAAATTTATTTTTCAACACTTTTTCAGCATCTAATATAAAAACCCAAGTAACAGATTTTTTTATCATCTACGTTTAGTGGTCTTGAAGATAGTGCTGCTGATGATAATGATGATAATGATGATGATGATGATGAGATATAAAGTATTTATTTGGACAAAATATATGTGTCTTCTTAAAACTGCATGTGTACAAACTTATTGTGTTCTGAATATATTAATATATACTATTACATATAATTAGCATGATGGTTTCTTGAGTTTAATGACATTGGTTCTGATTACCTCTTATACTAATGAAATACATTTACAAGAGCCAAAACTTTAACCAGTAAAAGCTGTTGTTACAAGTGTTGCTAATATACCATAATGCAAGTTATTGTCCAAAGGAAAATGTTCTCAGACCATAATTATTTCTTTTACTCAACAATGTACATTCTTTTTCGTTTATTGAATAAATATGTATTTGCCCTTTGAATAATTCTTTACCTCATAAATATTTTTAGAATACAATTTGTAAGTACATTTGATTTTAATGTATATATAATTGTATAATTATGATGTAAAAACTATTTAAAAAGAATATTTATACAATTATTTTTAAGAACATTTTATTTTTAGTGAAAATTTTACATAGAAAATTCGCATGAAAAATCGGCACGCCGCAGCCGGGACTCGAACCATGGGTCTTTGGATTGCCCGTTCAGTATGCTAACAACTACACCACATTGGCCGTTTCGTTTTTTCTAACTTAATTGTGACGTCATCACTTTTATTACCATAGCGGCGAGCAATGTATTGCTAATTTTACCGCAGATGGCTGACTTACCATTATTTCACTTATTATAAATAAGATTTTATGCTCACATAAAATAATTTATGTCATTGGCCCTTATTCTCACTACTGTAATGAATATTACCCGTAAAGTGTCGGGTTTTATTATGATATCAAGACCTAAATCATGTGTTGTTAATTAACCAATGATTACATTAGATCTATCACAAAGAAATAATTTTGGCGCAAAAGGATATCTCGCTATACTTTATTATACGTAAATATCTAATGGCAAACGCATTTCTTATTTGTTTAAGGCCACTACCGCCAAAGAATGAAAATATATGAAAGAAAGTCATGAGCGGGAAATTATACATAGAAAAGTCGCACGAAAAATCGGCACACCGCAGCCGGGACTACATTTTTCAAAGGTTAACTTTTTTTCTCGAATGGCACGCGACAGTCATTCCTACACATATGTCTGTCTGAACACATCTGTTACAAACAAGTAACGACTTTAAGTAATGCCACCTGTCGACTGAAACTAATGTGTTTCTTGAGTTTAATCGGCGTGAAAAGAGAAATGTAATCTTGAATAGAAAATACAAAGGCCGGCGATAAAAATTTCAATTAGATAAAATATTTGCAAAACGCAAAAACACTTAACTCCATTGTCAGTGAAGTTGATATTTTATACAAAATTATCCCACTCAAATACGTTCATAAATTCACATAAAGGCAAGACGATGAATGTAGCATGTGTTTCATGCTTAGTCATAAAAACAATTTTGCGAAAAAACATAAATATGCAGTCATTAGAAAAAAAAAATAATGCAATGTTTTTGTATCAAAATCAAAATATATTTAATGTCGTATGAAGAGCAAAACAATGGTTCAAACGTAAAAAAACGGAACTATATATCTTGAAAAGGAAGTATTATTTGAATTTTATTAAAGGATGTTACTCTTTTTATGACTTGAAGATATTAAAATGGTATTTAAATCAATATGTTGACAACACTGTGAAATTAAACAGAACAACTTACACGTAAGTTTTAATGACAAAGGGTCGTCTATTTTTATAACAACTAGAAAATGAAAATGTTTTCACACAAGAAAAAGAATGTTTGCTTAATCTAAGAATGTATCAATTGCTTATTGTGCTTTGATATTTATGGAATTATTTTAAGGACAGATGAAAATCATGATATTTTAGCCAATTATTAATAGAATCTCTTCAAACGTGATTTTAAATTTGATCAGTTTTACAATGTTTCAGCTTGATAAAAAGGATTTTGAAGAACACTTATCTTGCAACTTATTGAGTGTGACGGTATTTGCTTTGAGCTATCAAGAACTGATTAAACAAAAGTCCCTTATTCTTTTTCAGAATGCCATTAAAAATGCTCACCAAACTTTTTCTTTGTATAATTTTGTCCGAGGTTTTGTTTCAACAAAATAGTTATTGGTTTCAAAGTCAGTTTTAGCGTATTTAATTACAGTTACTCTATTACAGTAAGTATGTGTGCTGAAAAATAAAGATTTGTCACTAATCAATGTGAGTTGTTGCACATTTATTGTAATCATAATGTATTCATAATGTTTAATTATCTAGCAATTTATTGCCAATATGAATAAAGATGCTTTATATTTTTATTGTTTTTAAGGAAAAAAATTCTAACATATCATATTTTAAAATAAACGAAAAGTAACCATATACTTTCAACGGCTATAGATGTTTTAAACCTTATCCCAAAGGTGTCAAGTAAGGTTGATGTTGTATATACCATGTTTATGTCCAAACTTTGGAAGTGGCCCCAGCATTTAATCATACACATTGCGTAATAACAAATGTCTTGTTTTCAAGGATGATTTTTAGCAACAACTCGTTATATCATTACTCGCTATGCATGACGTTACTTTCTGTAATCACGTGCACAAACGCTCACACACCACTTCAGCACGTTTTCATGAAAGTGAAAGACTCTTGTCTAGTGCCTGTATGGAAATATTTATTTCATTTTCAGTTGGTATAGGGTCTCTTTGAAACTGCTTGACCAAGTATCAGTCATTTAGGAAATATGACAAAACAAAGAAAACATTTATTTAAACATTTTTATTCCAACAATCCTATATAAAACACTCATATTATTAAATTGAATAATATCATTTACAGGATAATTCAAGATATAACACTATTCATACTAAATTTATTCTTGGAATAAAGAAGAAAAAAACATCTCCATAAGTTTTACGGAGATTTAATGACTTTATATATTTACACTTATTTTATATTTACAGCTATTTACAAAGGGTGATGAGAGCATGTGTCATGTTATGTTGCTCTTAAAAAATATTTAAATCAAAAGAACCAATTGTTTGTAAAGAAAACGATCAAAAAAGAAGGCCACACACTAAACTTGGTACGCAGCTTATGAACATTGGTTATTTTTTCTTTTGAAACACAATCAACGCTGTTGAACCATTTTTTTTAATCATTAACTGGTGGAATACCAAAATTTCTCTCGGACATGTACAAGAATACACTCAGGTGCAATATAATTTCGGCGGTTGAGTTATATAGTTTGTCGCATCCACATAATTGCATTAATACATAGGATAGTGCTGGTTCCAAATTGCCGAATTTGTATTATGATTTAAACAATAAACATGCAAATGGCTAGTAATTAGCCTTAACAATGTCATTAGCTACATAACAGTTTTGTGTAATCTATTTTTTAAATTAAAGGAAAACGAAACTTGGTATTGCTTGTATACAAACATATTTGACCTAAAGTCTAACCGATACATTTCAAATAGATTTCTTTATGTATCATACCAGTCTACAGGTAGTGCATATAAATTACAAAGTTAAAAAGTAATCGTATCACCAGTTTTGATCAATAAACGTTTGTGATATCGATGTGCCATTTGTAAAAACATATACACTCAAGCATTTACATTACTTAGATAATTGATATCGAGATGTGTCATCCATATCTGATTGAACACGTATTTGAATTTTAATTTAGTTGCAACTAGATTATTTCATCGTACATCATGGCTGCTTGCAGATAATTAACCCAATGATACAATATTTGTTGACTGTTTAATCGTATATTATGTGATTATATATTCAAAAAAATCACAAAAGTGACTGCCATCCGTTCTTTTTCATTTATTTCGTTTAAATTCATTCATTTAATACGCATAGAATCGTACTGCATTCCCAGCTACATAACCGATATTGTAAGCATTAGAAATTGGATGTTCCTTTCCGCCAACAATTTATTTGTCAAGCATGCTGCAATTCTATCTGAAAAATAATGCAATGTATACAATTTAAATCAATACATTCATATGGACTTTGCAGGTTTTTAAAATAAAACTTCCAAAATGTCCTATAATTTTGATGTATAAGTTAATTTTTTACATGTACATTTATATGTTTTTCCTTTAAACATATATCCAATAGATTTGATGTTGATGTAATTAATATTTCAAATATGATAAACATGCTTTTTGGCTCATTGTTTTCTTCCTGAAATAATTAAAAGAAAGTTTACATGATTAATATTAGAAAGACATTAGTTTACATAATTTACTTATATTACCTGCTAGCTAAATTATTCTTCACATTTTTGATGATGTCAATTTCTATAAAAAATGAAACAAGATGATTTTAATTTTTAAAACTGCGTTTCATTTTATTTGCAAGGCCTATGAATATAGAAAAAAACATTTTTTTAAAATTATGTTAGTACCTTCTTCAATTACAATTTGGATAATGCGATCTGTGTTCTTCAGCGGGATCATCCGTTTCGGTGAACCCATAAAGCGTCCCGCCACACTTGTAGCATTCAACCATATCATTAACTGTCGTCTCGTTCACAGTATATACACCTATACATCACAATGATATTAAAATAAATATTTAGTAATGGGGTTGAAATGAAGACATATCAATTTCGACTATCTACCTTTGTGCATCATTATCCGCTTTGTCTTTAACAATATCATTTTAAAATGTGTTTCTTATTAACTTTGCAAGAAATTTAGATTCTTTCATTGTTTTATTTAAAATTTAAAAAAACCCATATCAATGAGGTAAAGCAAAAGTATCACATAAGTATGTCACATACTAGGTGGAAAATACATTTCTATGTAAGAAAGGCCGGTAATTCTGTATATTACAGTGATGTGAATCTAATGTCGAAATTCCTACTGCCCAATTAAGTGTTTTTAAAGTCAAGCAAACTGTTATATAGACTTATGGACTAACAATTAAAACACTGATAAGATGGACCTTGCTACAAATAAATTATGACAAACGCATTCTTGAACACAACTTTATATACACCATTGCCTAGCTGACATTAGTGAAATGATGAAAACACTATGAACATTCTCCTCATAAAATGATGTACTTTTGATTTTTAATTTAACTGAAAGTTCTTTTAAATGTATCAAGCATGCCTCTTACGTCAAGGTTCAGAGATAAAACGAATAATATTGTGTAGCATTCAGTTTATTTATCGTTTATGAATACACGTAAATCAAATAAATATTACTTAGGAAAATCTTTATCATTCCTTGAATATATTCTAGTGAGTGTTAAATATATTATGATCTTGAATCATGCACTTTTTTCGAAAACTTAAATCTTAGTGTGCTAAAAATGTTTTATCAAAATATATTTTGATTTACCTTTGAAAATGAGACCTACACTGGCCATCATTTCAGCAGTTGGAATTGTATGTGGCCAATCTACCTGTTTGTTAAAGAAGGTTGCCAGACGAATACTAACATCCTCAAACATATCTTTTGTAGTACGACGATTGCGTTGTCCAAGTCGTTTTGTGTTGATGTTGTCTGTGTCATTTGACTGTTTTGGCATATCACCACGGGGCGTCAAACAATAACCATTCCTTTCGTATAAAATTGATGACTTTTCAATAGAGGATCCGGATAAGGCAAGAGTTCCGTTAATACATGTTTCTTCGTTTGCATATGGTCCACTACCCTGCTGTCTTATATTCTCGTTTGCCATAACTACAGGTCGTTTTTGTTCAGTGTATGTTGCAATCGCATAGTAATCACAGTCAGGTCTTCGTCTCATTGATATCACAGCCTTTGGTTTTCCTGACGGTGCAATTGCTTCTGGTGAGCCGTAAGGGCTATGTTCTTCTTCACCAGAATCTGACCCAGAACCTAAGTCATTTTTATTTTGAGAACATTGATAGTGCTCAAAACCTAGATCCTGTCTATTGCTGAAACTTAATGTATACTGCACTTGAGGCCTCTCAGGTGGGTAACACACATTATATGTTTTCTCTGAGCAAGCAACGTATCTCAATGACTCGCATGTTTCCTCCTCTTTAATTTCCTTAATATATAGAAGACTTGCGTTGTCTGTTTCAACACATTCAGTTAAATCTTTATTTGTCGATGCCATATTTAGTTGTTGCCTCTGTAAATATAAACGTATCATTTAGATTTGGTAACGCATTAAGTATTTTCACAAATTTGAAGTAGTAAATGCAATCAATTAACTCAAAGTAGCAACACAATGATATAATGTATTATAGATATTGATAATATTTCACATATGGTGTTTGTTTGTTTTACAGTAATTCTAACCCATAATTGATCATATCCCGGCAGTCATTTAACCTAACAAGTTTTGCTGAATACAGAAACAGTAAGTTTTAATTTCCCTACAAGAGATGAACTATTTGTCCAAATTGAAACACGATTTAATGCCCGATATCAATTGTCACGGAGGAATTTTCATTTTTTTTTTTTTGGTACGGTCGGATTAGCTCCACCAGATGCTCACAAATAAGCTAAGGAGGACAATTCCATTTTTTAAAAACACTTAGTACTTAGGAGGAAGAACGAATGCTTATACATATACATAGTTATAATATCAAATAAATTTTCATAAAGATTTAAATCATTTTTTTTTTTGCTCTGATACGTATGTTTATGAAAAGGAAAATATTTTTATAAATAAATGTTGTTTATGGACCTTATTTACAAACAAGAAAACTTTAAAAATAACTTTGTAAATGCTTATAACGTTTATAACAATTTTCAGGTTTTTTCAAATAACGATTAACAACACATTTTTTTTTCTTAATATGACTTGTATTATCCTTCTGTGTATTAACGACAAGGTTTATTTAACTTTAAAAGCATTTAACCTGTATCATTCGGATTTTACTTCCTTGTTCTACTTTTGAAGAAGATTAATCATGATTTAGTAAACGATCGATGGCATAATTAACTTAAACATTTAAAATATTTGACAAATATAAAAGCAAATGTACTTTACAAAGTCACGGGTCTAGGATTTGTAACCAAAATAACAAGGGTAATGTATATACCAGAGCGAGTTTAACATCTTACTATATTTTAAGTCTTGTCTTGGGTAAAATATTTTCTGTCATAAGTTATGGTTTTTAATTAAAATATATCACTATTATTATATATTAATATATTACTAAAATATAAAGTTAGTAAACATAACAGAGGTATTTTACTTGCTACCAAATCACAGGAGAAAGAGGTCATGGCCCCTTGCTTACCCCTACCGCTTTCAACACATAACATTTCGTTTTATTCGTTACAAATTATTCATAAATAACATGTGAGAAATCCGTATGGTGAAAGGCATTGAAAACAGAATGAATTCATTCTTTTATTTTTTTTCTGTTTGCCAAATATATACAAAACGGTACATTTTTGTTTTTGGTTTGTTTGGTATTTTTTAATTTTATTCGATCACAATGCTTTCTAGTCATATTAACAAAATTACAACACTTAGAAATAATTATTTATTCAACGTGTTGGTATTGGTTTCAGAAAAAAAATAAAACTAAAAAAGATTTTAAATTCCTTACCTGCTGAAATGTTAGTAAATCCAAAACGATTATGAATACCTTACAAGTAGAGAGTATTCATCGATCCTTGCCTTATGACAGCTGTATTATGATTGGCTGATTTTATCGACGGTTTAACAGTGTAGGTTATTTATAACCAACAAAGGTGTTTAAGGTTTATATTAATAAGAAGTTTATTTGAGACATTACAGGTTACATGTCAATGAAGATAATTTGTTTGTACTAAAACTATTAAAATTGGCAATTCATTGTTTCACGGATATGATTTGATCTATATCAAATATTGCGTTAGTTTAATCGGTAATGTTTTCATTTTAAAACATATTGTGTATGTTCTTAGTGATAATCGGGAAGAAAAAATGTTAAAACATCCAGCAAGGGAATCAGTGAAATAAGAACGAAAATATGCTGATATGATAATAAATCTTTTTAATGTTTACAAACACTGATCGGTTATTTTTCAAGTTGTATGAATATTAAAAATGAACACTATTATATACATACATATATAAACATGATTATATAGATAGAGCTCTACGCATTTTGGTTTCAGCTTTTGATACATAGGAACATATGCAATTTTTAAAATCAAACAAACGACTGCACTTTGAGGTAATACAAATTAAATCAATACAAACGAATTTAAGATATATTTTAAAGTAATATCTTGCAGTTATTACAAACAAGAAATGAAGTAGGCGAAATGCATAATGTCGGGTGAAAATAGCAGAGTGTATCCTATTTGTTATATCTAGGGGTTGCAATTTGAAATGAAATATAATTTTTATATGCAATTATATGAATCATAGAATAGAGGCCTTAAATTAAGATATATAAATATGTTTGATGTTTATTGAGTGTGATAATACACTTTCTTTCTTTCATATCAGAAAGGACTATTTACTGGTTATAGGGTATTAGGAAAACATGTCCAACACGCCCCGTTTAAGACAAATCGTGTGCTTTAAAGCCTCGTTAAGGCCGTTTACAGTTACCATTAGAATTTACAGTTAGATATTCCGGTCTGTACCGGGAGCCGTTGTAAGATTCTTTTACGAGATGGCAACACAGAATGAATTTTAACATTGTTTAAAGGGCATTACTTGGTCATTCCGTGAAGATGTAATTTGTTTAACAAACTTTAGTGTCTTCTAAAATTTTAATGATTTTCAATATTGTATACGTTTTCATTATCGATATCATGCGGATCACATATTTAGGATATCGAACATTGTCAAATAGTCTTTTAAAAGAAGTAACAGCTGTAACCCTTATGTAACTTTACTATGATAAACTAACTTGTTACAAGTCATTTAAACAAAATTTGAATTGTTTGAAAAGAAGATGTATAGAAATGGCATTTACTGCACTTTATTACATCCCAATCATATTAAATTTAGGGTTAAATTTCGCATAAAAACTTATCATTGACATAAGAAAATAGTTGACACAACAGAATGCTCTTCAAAATATCTGTTATTTTCAGAAAACATTAACACTTCAAATTATTAGTTATAAAGACACAAGTTGTGTGACATTTAAAGTTGTAAATGTAGTCTGAAAGTAACAGTATGTTACGATGCTTATTCGGAATGACTGCTACTTAAGTATTTAAATGGCATTTAGTAAGATTGAGTGCGAAGTGGGGTATCGATCTTCAACTTAGATATGTCTAGGTTGCAATTCGTCATACCATGGTATTTAAGAAGGATTCAATTTGCATCTTCAGAACACTGGAATCCAACGTGTGTTTTTCGTAGCATATTACTTAAGGCACTTTGGGGTTCATTTCTCGATTTTTACTCAAAGTGTGTTAAAACCCGAAAAGCACTGTAAAGTTTACCGCACTTTTTTAACAAGAAGCGCTTTACCCCAAAGTGCGAAAGAAAAAAATATACATGCACGACATGATGTAGTTTATAACTTTTTTATAAATGTTTTGAAAATATTTAATAAAAATTATCTGATATCGCCTCATTCCCCTCGATACTGCGTGGTTAAGCGCACTTTTAATAGTGTTCTAAAAAAGCAGAAAAAAAAACACATTTATCTCTCTATCCCGTCGAAAACTTCATTATAACAATATCGCATTTCTAGTAGCCACGTTAATTAATACGGCATTGTCGGTTTGATGTTATATACTTGTTTTTAATAAACGCCAGTCGCATGTCATTAGCAAAACTATTTCATTTTAGCGTAACAACAAAATGATAAAAACTAAAGGCCTCAACAGATGGTAGGATATTGAAGTACAACACCAATAAAAACTAAGATGTACAGACAAATCTTAATGTGTGAAGGCTACTATTTCTTGATTTCGGAAACCTTAAGTCTAAGTCTAGATTTAAGGGATAGGACATGTTCTATTTTGAAAATCTTGTTGTACAGATTTTTACAGACCTCCCACAATGACAAGTAACAGATAACCAAATTATCTCCTGATAATGGGTGTAATGAATGAAATTCCAGAACAATTAGGACTAAAAGGTAAACATAGTAGTAAGATGGGGTAAAATGATGTTGAAAAACTCTTCAGGAGACCCAGAGTTGTGGTATGTTCGAATCCCAAAATGATTATGTCACGGTATTGAACTGTCTCTAATTAGGGGAGGGGAGGTAGTTTGTAGGAGGCCGGATAGCTTTGTCGGTAGATCCGCAGTACGTATTTCCGGGGGTCCCAGGTTTGAGTCTTGGTCAGGCTTCACATTAAAAAAGAATTTTTTTTAATGGAGGTCTTTCAATCATTACTCATGGCGAAAATATCTAGTTCATGTCTTGTTAAACAATTTGATCTATCTGCAGCTAATACCATTCCCTCTGGTTCATCAGAATAAAAGAATAAAATAAAATTGCAAGCTTCATTTCATTTCGAAAATATAAAAATGACAACGATTTCACATCAACTGACAATGATTAGCCGTTCTATATCAATATAGTTTCAAATACCAACAAAAATGATTTAACGATATAGAATAATTTCAAAGTCGTTTATTCCGTACAAGTAAAGTCACGCCAAACAAAATGTGTAATACATTTTTTCAAACAAAGCAACGCGTGAGTAGTCCCTATTATATTTGTATTCCAAATAACTTCTTACATATTCAAATGCATCAGATAAATATGTACACGGCGTATGGTTAAGGACATTTCATTTACAGGAACATATGGCAAAGACTGAAACCAAGTAGGTGGCATTAAGTACCGATTCGTATTAAAAAGAATAGTAATTTATGAATTCATATGGCATAACATTTCATTCAAAATGAAAAACGTGTTTTCAGCGCTGTCTGTTGTCAATTCATATGACTTTGTATTCTTTTGACGTATACTGTGAGGAAACGCACATATAATAGGGTTTTCACGATACACCAGAAGTAAAGCCACGATATATCGCGATACGCAAGGACTGTACCGTCATGCATACTATGATAGTTTGCTTCATGAACAAAAGTAGTATTATGATATGACATTAATTTCATTTTTAACTTTTAAATTACACTTTTAACTCAATTTCTAAGTAATAAACAAATAATGAATTAATACAAATAATGACTTAAATATCTCTGTTTATTTGATTAGCATTTTACAAGATAAGAATTACAAGTAGAATGTTTTCAATGTACACAAATCTCTGTGTTACATTTGCTACATTCATGTAGGAATATACGGGCCCTACGTGTTAAGCAGATTTTGTTCTTTAAAAACTAAAGAAGCTGATGAAATATTAACTCTCAGGACTGTGTCACTATCTCTTCCGTGTCTGTGGTAACATCGTTTTCGGCTAGAATGCATGGCCGGCATAAAACTACTAGTAGATCAGCCAATAAAATAAGGATATAATAAGGAGTTTTCGATTCACCAAACGAGGGGATCATTTTGTACATTTTATATTTATATTAAGTGTTATCTGATTTAATATTACCCTCCTAGGATATATTCCCCAGGGAATATGTCTTACATCACCCTTGGGCACTCAAGTCTTGGATAACTACATATTCATCAAATATTTAAGTTAAACTAGACCTTGTAACAATAATTTGAAATCTGATATTTAAAGAATTGTACATGTCTATTGTGTCTCAACTTTACCATTCTTGAACTGTTTTGTTTAAGTTTGTTGTTTTGAGCAAAATTAAATTTTAAAAATGATGTGTATTCTGTTTATTTCCTTGACTGCGTACTTTATAAATATTGTAGTCTTTCGGTATAATATGATAAATAAAACATGGCTGTGGGGTGATAGATCTAGAGGATATTGCCAACCCTTGAATTGGCATACATCGGGAAGTATACCATTTCTCGTGTTATTTACATAATATTTCTAGGCCTGGCAAATATTCAATATCGATATCACTTTAAAGCTTTTATTAAGATGTTTTATTCATCATAGAAATGTATACTGTAACATATAAATTATGCAGACTTTTAAACTCGTAATTATTAAAAGGTAATTTGGTATGATGTCTTTTAAATATTTATCTAGTAATAAATCATGCAAATAGCATGTTTATCAACGATATCAAATGCATCTAAATCAATTTTCTTAGATAAGTGTTCAAAGGAAACATATACATGTATAAAATTAATGTATATACATCAAAATTATAGGACATTTTTGCGGTTTGATTTTAAAGGAAAACTGTAAAGTCAATATGATTTTAATAAATTTGAGAGAGGATATCAATTGTATTTTTTTCAGGTAAAATCAAAGGAAATTATTAGAAGAAAGGAATATTCCAATTTGTTACTGCTTATGATATCGATTATGCACGACCCATTCGCAGCTCACTGAATACACACCCACATTACTTCAGACAGTGATCCGACAGATGCGACTATGTAAATGTAACACGATTTAATGCGTATTAACTAAAATTGTCTAAAACTATCTGCAAACTATGATTACAGCTGTATGGCGAAATAATCTAGTTTCAATTAAGAATAAATCAAAATAAGTGTTCGACCACATATCGATGTGACATGTCGATATCAATTATCTGAAAAAATGCTAATGCTTGTACCATATAGCACAATTGGCAAATCTATAATGAAAAGTTCATAAATCTAAACTGGTGATAAAAATATTTATTAATATTGTTAATTTATAAGCACTAGCTGTTGATGGGTATGATACATTATACATTTGAATCTATTTGAAATGTACCGGGTTGACTTTAAATAATATATTTAATTTGTAGATGTAAGCGCTACCAAGTTTCGTTGTCAAAATGTTTCAGATTTTTCAAAATCGTTATCTGAACCCAATGACATTAACTCTAACTAGTCACTGGCATAATTAAATACTTAAAAACATTTTAATTTAGCAATTGAGAACAAGCAGCATTGTACGTATTAATCCCATTGTGAAGATGCCACATAATAAATTTTGCTGTATCTACAAACTAGTCACACGGCCGCAATTCTATTCATGTTGGATATATTTCTGACATGTCACATGAGAAATTTTGGAATGACAACGTAGGTCTTAAAAGGTGAAAACGATTTTCAAAACAATTATTGAATATTTCATCAATATTTCTCCATCATTATTTAAATTTTGATTGTGTTTGAATATAACAGTTTATACGCTTCCTAAACTAAATTTGGTGTGCGGACTTGCTTAACTTTAGAATAAAAATATTTCTGTTTAAGAGCTACATAAAACATTTCTGTTACAAAAATGCATTTCCACTCCTTGTAAATGATTTTAAGTGTACAGTGAGTGAAAATAATCCTTAAATATCCGCTATGAAGATGCTTATTCTTTATTCTACGAAAGATTTTGAAAAATTCTAATGTTTTATTTAAAAGTATCCTGTTCATAATTCTTAAATGTATTAATTTATGTTTTTATACAATGTATATCATTGTTGGTATGAGAAAAGCTTTAAAATATGTTTTTCTTTGTTGTGCCATATTTCTTTAATGACTGACACTTTGTCAAGAATTTTCATAGATACCTTTCGCCCACTGAAAATTTAGTCTATCTTTCCGAACAAAAACTAGACAGGAGTATTTCACTTTCATTAAAACGTGTTTTAGTTCCCGTTAGAGCTCAGATGTTCGATTTTACGTTTATTCACCAGAACAATTAATGTTTACAATTATATTCGTGTGATTCTGCCGTCAACAGTTTCAATTGTGTAAACAAATTGTTGTTGTTGAGTCAAAGAAAATCGCAAAATGAGTTTTATTTACGTTAGGAAAATCGGTTGACGGAGATAACACCGCATGTCATTTGTCGTCAATTCTTATTAGAAAAGAACGGCTTTATCAACAGCCTTCCCGCTGATAAGCTAATATTTAAATGTGTATCATGTTTATTGGCCAAACACAATTTTATCAGCTAAACAATATACAGCCATTTAATGATAACATCCGTTGCATTTTTTCTTTTATTTTTAATCATCCTTTTTATAATTGTTTTCGAGAAAAAGTAACAATTTTACTAAACAATAACTAAACAATAAGAAAAAGCTCTAAATAACACTCCGCATATATATTAAAAATTGGTCTGAACGTTAGTACGATTGATGTTTGTTGATTGATTCAAATAGGAAATTCTAAATTGATAAATAACGTTTGATTCTTTTCCACCTGTTATATATCAGTATGTATTTAAGTACAATCCTGCTGTATATATATTTTTACAGACGTTGGAATTGGGCTTGGGTATCAAACATTCCTATTAGCGAACACAGTTTTTGGTTTATATCCTTGTAACTTACTCGTTTCATATAACTAACCTGACCCACGCGGGTCAAGTTAGGAAACCACCATTTTATTTTTTATACGCAGAAAAGTTTTGTTCTTTTGACTGTCTAATGTATTAACTTTGGGGGTATTAACAGAATAATTAATGAAAAATCCAAACCTAAGAATTGAAAATTTTGCCTGTGTCTTCCTTTAAACACACGCCCTTAAAACAATATTTAAAAGTTATAAAACTCATGAGTGTTGTAGCTTTTCTAAAGAAAGAAAACATTAATTTCCGGACATAATGTGACTTTGGTTACCTCTGATGTTAAAATTGCCATAATGTCAACATTCTTTTTAATTAACAATTCAGGTATTTAGTTGGTATATGTTTTATAAGTGATTGCGAAAGAAACACACGCTTAGAGTAAACGATACGCATCATGCATGATTTTTTCTCTGTTTATTAGGATCATTCTTGGCTTACATTTACTACGCTCGAAATACATGTTTAGCTTAACCAACTTTTCAAAATTTAGGTCAATATACATTGCTTTACAACGGTAGATAGTGTCACGTTGTCCCCGTGATAATACATGTGGGGCTTCTTTGGTCCTGTGGCTTGTGTAGTTGACTTCATACAACTTGCCCCTCACCACTTTAGGTTTGAATCAAGCCAGGGACTTTGGATTCTTTTTTGTTAAGAAGCTGTCGCTCTATCTAATGAACGTTTGTTGCTCTAATATAGGTACCCGTAAAAATAAACGTACGAGCACCTGATGTCTTCCTCGTCCAGTAAAGCTTGAATGTCGCAATATGATTGTGTATTGTGTTGTCGTGACGTAAAACCTAACCAAAAAATATAAAAACCAACAACAACGAAAAACACATATTCATACAATGTGTTCTTTAATATACCATGCATGAATAATTTGAAGCTATAGTATTGTCAGCATCATTTTTGAAATGTTCAAATGGCCGACGTATTTCTAATGAGTCGTAGCATTATTATTCGTAAGTGTCCAGAAAATAAAAAAAAACAAAGAAACAAAGAAACAAAACAAACAAACAATATATTTACGGTATATTTAACTGCAGGAGAGACCGCAAGGGCCTTACAAAGGTATTCGGAAGATAAGAGTTTTTTATCTGATGTACTGTCGAATCGATTCTTCCTGTTTCAAAATATTCTTTGCGTCTGACCCGGTTCTCCTGTTCGGCTTATTTGATTTCTGTTAATCCCTTGTGCATATTCTTCTATATTCATTCCCGGTAAGTTAGGGCAAGGTAGGCACTGAAATACAAAATATCAGAAAAATAATATGTTTGATTTCAAATTTTGATAATAATGTAAATAATATGTCGAAGAAGTGTAACACATGTACTAAAATTATGCGAACATAACTTCATTACGAGATACAAGCACTACATGAAAACTACCCATGAGTCATGACAATTAAGTTGTTTGTTGATATTGTATGAAACGGGATAAAATATCTGAACGCAGTGCGATACACCGAAAGCGTCAATTATCTAGTATAAGTTACCAAAATCAAAAAAGAATAAATAGAGGATATTCAAGTTTTTCCTATAAATACATGATTTATTTTCATCGAGTGGTATGAAAATAAATATTTCATGAGTGGCGTTAGCCACGAGTGAAATATGGTAATTTTCATGCCACAAGATGAAAATAAATCATGTATTTATAGAAAAAAACTTGAATTTTCTGTTTATTATATACATTTTTCTCCTTTTTGCGATAAAATTTGAAAGACTTTTCCTTAAATTTTGTGTACTGGCAGAATTTAAAAGAAAGTAGTCCGGCAAGACACCAGTGAAAATACGGAAAATATGTTTCACTGCAGTGAAAAATAAATTTTTACAGTGAAAATACGGAAAATGAAAATACGCATTTTATTTCATCAATATTTCTCAATATTTCATTTATAAGTATATAATAAATGAAACTCTTACCTCTCTAAATCTATCCAAGTTTTCATCTGCTTCAAATTGTTGGCCATTTTGATTCCCTACATATTCATCCATATCTGCATTAATCACTCCCGGTAAGTTAGGGCGTGGTAGGTACTGAAAATGCAAGGACAGTAATTTAAAATATGAAATTAAATTTGGTAGATAAGGTAAATTTACATGTTGAAGAAGTGTTATTAAAATGAAAATGCAAAAAAAAAATAAATACATAAATAAATAAATTAATTAATTAATAAAACGGAAAATGGAACAGAAAGTCTTAAAATCATACATCTCAATCTGTGCCGACAAATATGTAATATCAATTATCAAAAATTAAAATATTAATTATTAGAATGAAAATTGACATATCAATGAAACCATTACCCTTCTAAATGCATCCCGTTCTAATGCCCAACGACTCATTAATCTCCGGTTTCTATTTAATGATATAATGGTATTGTCTCTTCTAATAAGATCCAAAATTGCTAAAGATGCACTTGCATTTCCTCTGCATCTACCATTTACAACAAAAGTTTCACCCATTTAAGAGAACTTTAAACCTTTAGAAATTTATCGTTAATAAAGCGAAACCAACACATATGATACCTGAAGACTGGGTAATGACATGGTTTACGCCCCACTCATAATACTGCCGCACAATAGCCACTTAGACGCGAGATAGATATGTCAATCATAATGAGCACGCGTCAACTGCCAGTTAAGTCGCGGGATTTGTTAATATCACAGCATTGGGCAATCCTAGCTATTCTAAATAGCAACATTCGCTGCCGCGGCAGCGAGTATTTGTGGGTGTGACTAATCAGTGGTGTAAAACTGTCTGTTATAAACCATGAGCTAAAAATAGAATGCAGTGTTAACCTACAGAGAGAATATAAACAAAACAGCTGATTTTACACAGGAGAGGTTTAATGGATGTTTTATATAACTCACAGGTTAATCAGATTAATTAAAAGACATTATCAAGCCATCTTGTCCAGATATTATTTTTGAAGTCAGTTTTTTTTCATCAAGCCAGACAACTATATCCAAATCCAAAGGATGTGCCTTACATGGGACATTTCTTTTAAGAAAAACTGCTAAAATGATCTTGACAGGAATTTAAATTTTTTTTAAACTATTAATATATAAAAATTTTATACAAAAGATAAACATTTGTGAAATGTTATTTTGACTACAAGATACTTACAACAAAATATATTGTGTAAATGAACTATACCTGGAAGTTACTTTTACTGTTTTCATGAAGTTTAAACCATTTAAATACAAGTTTAATCAGTACTTTGAAATTAAAAAAAAATCATAGATTAATGGATTATTGTAAATTTGTTGGATATAAATACTTTTTGATAAAGTAAGATCAGTAAAAGTTATTGTTTTTTCTTATCATGTACTCAGCATTCGAATGTGTCGTCTGCTGAAAATCTCTCTCCCTGAAATATATATCGTCTGCTACAAATCTCTCTCACTGAAATAAACACTGCCACGTGCATCTGTTTACTACTGAAGGTTCATGACCTGTAATGATCAGTTGGCTCCTCCCATGGAAATTCAAATTTCAAATTTGACGGCCAGTATTTTTTTCCAGAAACACACTTAACAAAGTTTTATTTTGAATAATTTTGGTCAATCTATATCAAGAATATCTATGCCTACATACATGCCAAGTGTTGTTTAAATGCATTTGGTAATTAATCTTAAATCTTTGAAAAAGGGTCCCTGAAGTGAAGCATGCATAAAATTAATAAGAAACCTGCCCTAGCGCCATCTGCTGGCTTTTATAGTCCAGTTGGGCCTTTAAGTCGCGGGATTTGTTAATATAATCAGGGAAGTAAATGCGTGCAGTATTATATGCACTTTTATATCGTTTTAACATATTAAATAACCGTTGTCGGGATTTGACTTATATGCTGGATGGGTTTTAGATTCTTACAAGCATTGATACAAATTATGTATATATTTAACCGATTAAGCAATAATTTATTTTGAGAAATGACAAACACTCGGCATATTTCTATAACTTTGATCTTGTCTTGTGCCAAGCTGGGTTTTTTTAATTTTTGATGAGGACAAATAATTTCAATGTTCATTAATAATCTGACAAAAATTTATCCGCTTTTCAAGATCGCCTTGAAAAATTTAGGACAAGGTGAAAACAAACAATCCTAGGCCGGTTTATTTGCTACAGCACAAATGCATATAAAAAGGATATTTATAAGTAATTCTATCAAAACACTAATTTGCAAGTAGATTTGGCATTATTTCATCCCTGATGATCTCTGATTGTCGTTTAAAACTTTAAATAGCTTGAATCTGACCCGCCACTGGAAATCGCGACCGTGTTGAAACATCATTGCAACAAAGTGATTGTATTGCGATCCTGCCCGGGTAAATTAGACAGGTGTAAATCCCCCGGTCCTGGTAACTTAGGGAGTGGTATGTCCTGAACAAAACATGTGTGATGTCGTGATATTGTAATAAAATTAAATTGGAGGGAGGGGGGGGGGGTGTAAGTTTTTTCTTTGGTATGTTTTTATAGACTAAGTAATAAAAGTTAAACACATTAAAGCTATATCACATTTAAATGTTAACTGAAAGTATTGTCAAAAATAAATTTTAAATGAATGAAATGAAAATATATGAAGTAGATATATATTACATTATTCCGGATGTTTTGTAAATCAGTTAGTTTTGCATAATTATACTTATCGTATGCAAGGTCCATGAGAGAAAGGCCAGATATTAATTAAAAAAAATATATGCTTTCACCTGATAAGGAAAATAATTCCAACTTAGCAATTATATTGACATACTTCGTGTACATGTACATTGTTTCCTGTCTTAGTTATTAGTATGATCTAAGATATTGTCTTTTAAAGGATACAGTTTAAATTGGGTGGGATTCTCATTGCTAAAGTCGTATTAACATTCATAGCATTTTGTTGCTTAAGTATTTATTGCTTGTTGAGATATATACAGTAAACGTTCTGTTCTTGACATAGAGGCACATTTCAAAGAGTTTAGATTTCATTTTTATGTTTTTATCTTTTTTTTCCCATAGTTTATTTTAGATTGTTGATATATGTTTTGCCCAACCATAATATAAGTTATATTTGTTTAATTTCAATGATTTATATTAACGTACTTTTTGGCTGAAAATGTTAATGACTTTTGTGTTATTAAATTTATTGGTTTTCTACTTTTTAATATCCGTTTACCTAGACATTATATTAAAATATTATCTCAATTTTTTAATTTTTTTATCATTTATTACCGGCATTGATTGAACGTCCGTGGCCGAGTGGTTAAGGTCGTTGACTTCTAACCACTTGCCCCTCACCGCTGTGGGTTCGAATCCCGACAGGGACTTTGGATTCTTTCATGTGAGGAAGCTATCCAGCTAGCTTACGGAACGTCGTTGGTTCTACTCAGGTGCCCGTTCGTGCCTGAATTAATGCACGAAGTGCACCTGATGTCTTCGTCCACCAGTAAAGTTGGAACGTCGCGATATGACCTATACTGTGTCGATGTGACGTAACCCTCCCTGCCAAATAAAAAAGAATTACCGGCATTGATAACTTAAAAATAATTAAAATGCATACTGTATAGGAAATTAAGTACGTACAGTTCATTTTGTATGACTTCAATACCAGTTAGTACTATATTACATGAGAAAAATATGTTTAACAACAGTACGCTGTGGATAAAAATGTGGAAATAAGCTTCAAAATAAGTATGTTTATTTAATATTATCGTCGGAATCCACATATACTGATAACGCAAAACTACGTGCAAAAAAAGTGTACGCATGGGTTCCGAAGATGATTTAATATCAATCTTAGTAACAATTATATCTGAATGAATTCATGCTTATCTTTATTATTTTTTAATTTCCATGAATATTTTAGCAACAAAATAACCTAGCATTGAACCTGTATAAGAGTTATAGCCGAATAGGTTTTTAATAGATTTTCACATTAACTTTGATTTACAAAGTACGAACAAAATTGTTATAATCTGGGGCATAATTTGTTTCCTCTTTTGATACGGTCGGTTAAAGGTTTAACACGGTTAAGAGGTAATTATTGCTTGCCGAACCACCACTTATTTGCGGCTATACTTTCAGCTACCGCGTGATGTATTTACATTGGGCCAAACATATTTGATATTTAAAACGACTTCTACAAAATATAGTGAAATGAGTGTAAAAGTTGTGGCTTTCTACAATTCACATTAGGTACGCGAGTGACACGCGTTAGTCACAAAGTATTATATAGATTAAATGAATGGCGAATCATCTGCAGCCTTGTTTATACTTTTTTATAATGTTACCCTGTTCCGTCCTTCCGTCCCTCTGTCATTCCGTCATAGTCAGTTTCCGTTTAGTATCTTAGTGACGGTTGCACACATTCAACTCAAATTTGACACATGGATACGTCAAAAGAATGCACAGGTCAAGTTCGAAATTGGTTGTGGTTTGATTACTTTTGGTAGAATTATGCCCCTTTCATTTTGAAAAAATATAAGAAATTTTCAGTTTCCGTTCATTATCTCCCAAACAGTATTACACATTCAACTCAAATTTGACATATTGATACATCAATTTAAGAGGAAAATGGAAATGTTCGGTTTCCTTCAATTATCTCCCCAACAGTTGTACATATTCAAATCAAATTTAACATGGATTTGTCATAAGAATACACTGGGCAGAGTCGACTTTGGTCATGGTTTGTTGATAGCTGACAGAGTTATCCCTCTTGAACTTTGAAAAAAATCTGATTTATTTAGTTTCCGTTCATTATCTCCCAAGTGGTTGGACACATTTAAGTCAAATTTGACAAATAGATACATCTTAGGAATAAGCAGTTCAAGTTTGAATTTGCTTGTGGTTCAATGATTTTTGACAAAGAAATCTCTCTTCAATGTTTGAAAAGTTTTGATTTTGTTTTGAATTTTAAGTTTCATCACTCATACTTTTGTGGAAATGTATGTAGTCATTATTTTGGCTACAAATATGCAATATAAAATTTACAAAAGGTTAACACTAAATAGTTTGATATTGTATAAAAATGGTTTGTTTTTACATTGAATAGTTTAAAGGGCTTTGAACTTAAAATGAAAAAAAAATGTGTAAACAAATTTTGAACAACTGATATTTTGGCTGCATGCGGGGGCATCCGTGGCGTGACGACACATTTCTAGTTTGTGTAATACAATGACTGATATGATCTTTAATAAAGTCTCTTTTGGCCAGAGATGTAAAAAACAATCTATGTCTTTGTTTTTGACACAACAATTTTTATGCACAATTTATCACTGAAAGTGATTATAATTGAATGACAAAATTGTGATTATGTTCTTATCAATTTACAAAAATATGCATTTTGTAGCAATTACTTAACGATGCATTAACTATTATTGAATATTCTTTAAAACCATAGCGGGATTTTGGAAAACCTTCTAGGGAAAATTGGTTTGGTATTACAGTTTGCCATGATAAAACTTTTTCTATCGTGAAATAAATTCGTCAATATCAAGGTATTACGTTTTCACTCAGATACAAGTATATAATATTTTTTATGAAAAATACTATATAAACACATATTTTACAAAAGCAAACACTTTCAAGATTTCTTTATATTTATAAGTGAACGTAAAATATAACAGTTTAGGTAATAGTCTAGGTTGATGTTGTAATAATTCAGGAAAAAGAAGGTGCTCGAATAGAAA